CGAGATTCTAGCCTGAATCGGTCCAGTGGCCTATAGGCTGCAACTACCTACCGAGCTCAGCAGCGTACACCCAGTGTTCCATGTTTCCAATCTGAAAAAGTGCTTATCCGATGAACCTCTTATCACCCCAACGGAAGAAATCGAAATCAACTAGAATATCATGTTCATCAAGGAACCAGTTGAAATCATGGACAGGGAAGTGAAGCGTACTAAGCAAAGTCGCATTCCGATTGTGAAATTTCGATGGAACGCAAAGCGTGGACCGGAATTCACATGGGAACGCGAAGACCAGATGAAGCAAAAGTACCCTCACTTATTCTCGCATTCTCAAATCTAGTGTCAAAAAGAATTTCGGGACGAAATTCTCTCTAACGGGGGGATGATGTCACAACCAGGAAATTCTATACTTTTGTAAACATTAGCAAGGACAAAATTGTAAACAAAATCCGGAAGCATGCATGATGTTTATTCAATGACAACAAATTTCATCAAAAACCCTATATGAACACTTCAATTGGTCAACGAAAGATTGGAAACCCTAAAATTTCCTGTTTAAGTCCAATGTGGACTAGGATTTCCTTATTGGGCCTAATGGACCAATAAGTTTCCAATTTGACTATTTTGGGGCTTAGAACCCTTAAATGGGCTCTAATTGGACCCACTTTCATGAATCCTAACATTTTGAGCCATAATGGATCCTAAATGAATTGAATTATCCTTAATGGGCCTTGTTGGGCCATAACAAAACAATATAACCCTAATGAACCATAAAACTCATTCTTTTATGCAAATTGGGCCGTGAACTATCTTAAAGGCCCAATGGGCCGGGAACCTTCTCTATGGGCTTCATAAATTCGAGTAAGGCCCAATCTCTTCCATAAATGCCTCATTTCGGCCCAAGTGTGTAAAAAAGAAAAGAAAAGAAAAGATTGTGCATGGAGTAAATGGTGACACCTCAAGATTACTATGTGGTTCTCCATGCTAATTACCCACTAAACAAAGAGTCAATTCCCATACTTCTAAGCACCCATCAACTCACACCTCTCTCCTCTTCCCCTCTTCTTATCTTCGGTCGAGAGGAACACACACACACACACTTCACTTGCAATTTTCTCTCAAATAAACTCTCAAACACCCTCAAGAACAACTCTTCCTTCCTCTCAAATTTTCGAAGATTTGAAGCATTTCAAGGAGGTTTCAACCAAAAATCAGTTCAAGTTACATACTAGTGGTAAGATCTTGCAAACATATTTTCTTTCTACACTCATTCTCTCCTCTTACCACCTTGTCTTCATAAATCATACTCTTAAAACTTCCTAGAATTCGAAGATCCCATCAAAGAAGCAAGCTAGGCCGAAAACTTCTTCATTTCTTCTTCAAAACCGAAACCAAAAACCCAAGGTGAGTTCATAATCCCTTGTTTTCGGTTTTTACTTGTTTTTGGGGGGAGAATACAAGTGTTATATGTTGATCTATATGTGTTTGCATGTTATATGTGATTTCTTTGGTTTGTGTTGTGAAAATGTGATATTATTTGTTATATGTCGAGATCTATGGCTAAAGTGTGAAGGATACATAAACAAATAACATAATAAACAACATACTTCAAAGATCTAAGAGTCTTTATGATAAAGAAGTGAAAAACAAAGCCAAGGATTCTTTATAAGTGTCATTTTTGCAAAAACAACCGAGGTTGGGTTGAAAGATGATAATTTTCGGTTTTATGAGGGGGTCAAAATTATTTATTTATATAAAACCTGATTTTTTATGAAACTAATACTTTTCAAAGGATCAACAACATAAATTTTAGTTTATTGGGCTTATATTTGGGCTTTATGGGTTTTTGGCCCAAAATTGCGAAAAATGAAGAGTTTTGGGGGCTGAAGTTGTAAATTTATCAAAATATGAGTCTAAAACATAAATAAACTATTTCAGGGGCTGAAAATGACTTTAATGCAAAAATTTGACTAAAAATGCAAAGTTTTGGATTTTTGGGTTCAAATTTTTAAAACTAACGGAATTTGGGCCAAAAGTGTAAATTTTTACAAATAAGGGCTGGAAATGGCAAATACAATAGTTATGGGCTGAAATTATTATTTAAACTATGTTTGGGCCGAAAATATCAAGAAAAATGGTTTAAGGACCAAAAATGATAATTTTTATCAAAAGGGACTAAAAGTGTCATTTTTATTAATAAAGGGGCTGAAATGGTCAAAATCAATATTTTTGGGCCAAATAGGCTAATATTAAATTATTGGGCCAAGAATATGAAATTTATAACGCATGGTTTTTAAAAAATGTTTATATATATATATATATATATATATATATATATATATATATATATATATATATATATATATATATATATATATATATATATATATATATATATATAACCAAAACTTCGTTATAAATCAAACGTCAAAGTATTTTTAACATCGCGAATAAACATTTGGTATACAACAAAACCTACACTACGTACTTAAAAACGATAAACATATCAATGATTCAATGATTGGGCCCAAAATCTTCTGTTCGTGCTATTGGGCCTTTGTGGCCCAATTTCATGATTATTGGGCCCAATATATTCCAACATGTTTATTGGGTCTTGGTGACCCAATTTCATGCCCAATGGGCCTTTATCAGCTTTAACATGCTATTGGGCCTTAGTGGCCCATTTGCATTGCTAATAGGGCCCTAAACGTTCATCATATGCTTAATGGGCTATAACGTGTCCGTAGCATACTCGACAGTCTGTAATAACATACATAATTAGTGGACCACCGTTGTCTTCTTTCGTGTCTGTTAGGCTTACTTCATATTAACGTAAAACATCAATCGGGTTGTAAAGCAATGTTATTCAATTTCATTGGGATTTAGTGAGAAATAACGGGTGGCACCAATAAGTGTCGGCCGTAGCCTGTAGTTATAATCAGAGACTCCTGGAGGGAGAGCGAGAGTTTGTGTATAAATCTATATGGGGGTGACTCCCCCACACCTGAGCTGTTCGCTACAGTTAGACTCGGCCAGTTTAGGGTGAGAAAATCTTAATCAAAACCGGCGTTTGGAAAAATACCAAGACACGCGAATTAGTAACTATTATGCATGGTTATAACGACTCACATAGAGATCCATTACCATCTAAGTACGGTTTGAGATAACCAGCCAGGTAAGGGAAAGAAGGAAGTCTTCCTGCGGAGGGGGAAGAAGCGGCCCGCCCTGAATAATCCCCCTTTTGTCGGATTATTTCAGATGTATGGGAAATCATATTCATACACCGTGATGATGCAAAGTGTTTTATACAATAATACAAAACTATCATACTTTTTAAATTGGAAAACATCAGGTTTTCCGGGGAACGACATTTATCACTTCTACACACAACAACTACAATACAAGGAACAATTATGAAAGGCATTCACTCTAACATGTTTTGAAATCACATACATATACAATTATGGGATCATCACATCTTTTTCGTAAACAGTTTTGTTACAGAAAATATTGGATTTTCTGGGTTTTACAAATAATACAAACTATTTTTTTTATATATCCAACATGCTTATGAATTTACCAACATTATATATGTTGACTGTTTTCAAAATAACTTGTATTCTCAGGTAACCGTTAGAATGAAGAATCATCAAGCGTATTTCTGAAATTTCTTTTGTGCAATGTCAATCGTTAAACAATTTATGTTCTGTGATGTTGTAATGTAAACAATGTACTTGATGTGAACAAGGTCAATTGTGATGTATTAATGCATGGTGATGTTTAGGTTATGTTTCGTGTATATTCATTGTGATGATATTTCAATTTAAGTCACACGAGCCCTCGGACGTTTCCGCCGTCTGGTTCGGGGGTGTGACAATACTTGATGGATCTGGCCTAAAACCCTAATGGGCCAAGCCCATTGGCCCATACGCCCATGAATAGAGGCAACCAATCATATTCCGGCATGAAGCATCTTCGGGAACATTCTTGAGCATCATAGAGAACTTCATAGCATACTTGGCTCATCAAGGACTAAGATGGTCCAACTTGCACCATGATGGCACAACAAGTGTAGGGATGGCGCAACAGGCTTTAAGTGTGGCACAAGAACATCAAGATTGAAGAAAAAACACCACCTTGGCGCAACAGGAACATACATGGCACAACAAGGGCATGCATGGCGCAATATAATACTCCATGGCTCAATAGGAGTACCCCATGGCGCAAGAGGGATCCTCATTTAACAATCTTCACCTTAACTTGATCATCCTCTGAACTCCACCTCGAACAAGAACTTCCTCTCCATTCCTGTCATTCATCCCCGAAGGGACCTACCTCCTGCGAACATCAACCAAGTCCAAGAAAAGCTTAAAATTCTCCATGGGTAACGACTTTGTCAAAATATTTGCTGGGTTGACCTTGGCATCAATCTTCAGTGTTGAAAACTTGTCTCCTTCCAAAATATCTCGAATGAAATTCAGCCTGACATCAATGTGCTTTGTCTTCTCGTGATACATAGGGTTCTTTGCAAAAATCAAAGCACTTTGACGGTCACAATACAAGACAGGCTTCTCCACCTTCTAACCAAGACTCTGATACATAGGGTTCTTTGCAACAAGTCATATCACTAGGTTTGAAGACTTATATGATATTACCGTCTCGCGATCACTCGAGATAAATTCCATGAAGTGATACCAGCGAGCGTGGGTTGAATCCTATACTCAGAACTTATGAGCACTCATGATTGTTGTAGCCATGTCCAACATCTTATACCTCTACAACCAACTCATGGCAGTCTTGATTCATACCTACTTCCAACATATGACCGACTCTGGAGACTTCAAATAATATGATATACCAAACATAATTATTCTGGAAGTCAAAACATGCAAAATGAAACGATAGTACACAAATGACAAAAGATAGCAACACCTTACTCATAAATAAATACAACTTTTATTCATCATCAAATGTCAATTACATTTTACACATTTCAAAGTTATCTAACTACTAAAACTAATATCATCCTGCAGCCCTATGCGCCTCGCATGCTGGAGATGCTTAACCCTACCCAGTCCCTTCGTGAGGGGATCTGCTGGGTTCTCATCCGATGATACCCTCTTTGCCACGAGGAGTCCTTCTTCTATTCGATGTCTGATGAAATGATATTTTCTGTCGATGTGTCTGGATCTCCCGTGATCCCTTGGTTCCTTTGCTAAGGCAACTGTACTTTCACTATCACAGAAAATCTCTATAGGCTCCTTTATAGCAGGTACAACTCCAAGGTCTCCAATGAAGTTCTTTAGCCATATAGCCTCCTTTGCTGCCTCGCTTGCCGCTATATACTCTGATTCGCAAGTTGAATCAGCTACTGTCTCCTGCTTGGAACTTTTCCAAGAAATTGCTCCTCCGTTTAAGGTAAAGACCCAGCCTGACTGAGAGCGGAAATTATCCCTATCAGTCTGAAAGCTAGCATTATTATACCCTTCTACTCTCAAGTCATCACTCCCACCGAGGGTAAGAACCCAATCGTTAGTCCTCCACAGGTACTTGAGAATGTTCTTTACCGCAGTCCAGTGAGCATTGCAAGGGTTCCCCTGATATCTGTTGACCATGCTCAATGCAAAGGCAACAACAAGACGAGTACAAGTCATAGCATACATGATCGAGCCTACAGCGGAACCATAAGGTACTCGACTCATCTCAACTATCTCAGCCTCTTTACTCGGGCTCTGAGTCTTACTCAGTCTGGCGTTACTCTGGATCGGTAACTCTCCTTTCTTGGAATTCTGCATGCTGAACCTATTCAACACCTTATCCAAGTAGGTACTCTGATTAAGTCCAATTAGTCTTTTACTCCGGTCTGTCAAAATGCTTATCCCTAGAATATAGGCAGCTTCTCCAAGGTCTTTCATAGCAAAACACTTCCCAAGCAAGGACTTCACTTCCTGCAAGTTTGGTATGTCATTTCCTATGAGTAGTATGTCATCCACATACAATACCAAAAAGCTAACTATACTCCCACTAGCCTTGACATATACAAAAGATTCATCTTCACTCATTGAAAAGGCAAACTCTTTGACTTTCTCATCGAAGCAAAGATTCCATCTGCGAGGTGCTTGCTTTAATCCATAAATGGATTTCTCAAGCTTACACACTCTATTAGGGTACTCTGTACTGACAAAACCCTCTAGCTGACTCATGTAAACATCCTCAGCCAACTTTCCATTAAGGAAAGCGGTTTTGACATCCATTTGCCATATTTCATAGTCATTAAGTGCAGCAATGGCTAGCATAACCCTAATAGATTTAATCTTGGCAACTGGTGAAAAGGTCTCATCATAATCAACTCCCGGAGTTTGAGAAAAGCCCTTTGCAACCATCCGCGCGTTATAAGTGTGTACATTACCATCCATGTCGGTCTTCTTCTTGAAGATCCATTTGCACCCGACTGTCTTGCGACCTGGTACATTGTCAACCAAGTTCCAAACTTGATTGTCATACATGGATTGTATCTCACTGTCCATAGCCTCTTTCCATTTAGCAGACTCAAGGCCTGCCATGGCTTCCGTGTAGCTGTTAGGTTCATCCAGACTTACCAGTGTGCTATCACTGATAAGTGTATCGCCTTCCGCAGTAATATGGAAACCATAGTAATGCTCAGGTGCATTCCTAACTCTTGTGGAACGCCTCAAAGGTACAGACTATTCTGTCGGATCAACATGAGTTTCCTCCTCAGGTTGATTGCTAGGGTTTGAGGTTCCTTCACCACTTGACTCTTGAATTTCTTCAAGGTCAATTTGCCTCCCACTGTTTCCTTGGCTTATAAATTCTCTCTCGCGAAAGACTCTTCTCCTTGCTACAAAGACCACATTATCACTGGGTCTGTAGAAGAGGTAACCAAAGGATCTCTGTGGGTAGCCGATGAAAATACACCTCTCACTTCGAGGTTCGATCTTATCGCGAGACTCACGCCTCACAAAAGCCTCGCAACCCCAAATCTTGATGTGGTCCAGATTGGGTACTTTTTCGGTCCACATCTCATGAGGTGTTTTGGCAACCTTCTTTGTAGGGACTAGATTAAGGATATGGGCGGCAATCTCTAAGGCATACCCCCAAAATGAGATTGGTAGCAAAACTCGACTCATCATGGAACGAACCATATCCAACAAGGTTCGATTGCACCTCTCAGCCACTCCACTCAACTGTGGTGTCCTGGGAGGTGTCAATTGTGAGATATCCCACATTCCTTAAGATAGTCAAGGAACTCTGTACTAAGATACTCACCACCTCGATCGGATCGAAGCATCTTAATGTTCCTGCCTAATTGATTCTCTACTTCTTGTTTAAACTCTTTAAACCTTTCAAAAGTCTCTGACTTATGCTTGATTAAGTAGACATAACCATATCTACTATAATCATCAGTAAAATTCACATAATAACGATTAGCATCCCTTGTGGCAGTTTTGAAGTGTCCACACACATCAGTGTGTACAAGATCCAACAAACCTTCACCCCTAGCACATGTACCAGTGAAGGGTGACTTTGTCATTTTCCCAAGTAAGCATGATTCACAACTATCATCTTACTTTAGATCAAATGACTCCAAGACTCCATCCTTTTGGAGTTGGCCTATGCGTTTCTTGCTTACATGTCCAAGACGACAATGCCATAATGATACTTTATCCAAGTTAATATTAGAAGAATCAATACACAACACATTATTTCCTAGATTGTCTACAACCGACACAACTTCATACACACCATCATAAGGTAATGCTTTAAAATAAAGAACATTATTAAAAAAAGCATAAATACCACCACTATCATTATCAAATGAAAAGGTAAAACCTTGTTTGTACAAAGCATAAAAAGGAAATAATATTTCTTGCCATTTCAGGCGAGTAACAACATTTATTCAAATCTAATGTAAACCCACTACTTAGCAACAAATAATAAACTCCAATCTTGGTGACAGGTGAAGCTTTCCTATTCCCCATGATCAAGTTTATCTTTCCATGCTCCACATTCTCACTTCTTCTTAGTCCCTGCAAATCAGAACAAATATGAATACCACAACCAGTATCAAGGACCCAGGAGTTAGAATAGGGTGAGTTATTAGACAATATAGTGTAAATACCTACATGGTTGGGTTTTACTTTCCCATCCTTAAGATCTTGCTGGTACTTTGGGCAGTTTCGCTTCCAGTGCGACTTTTCATGGCAATAGAAGCATTCAGCCTCTTTTGGGTCAGAAGATGGAGTGACGAAACCTTTCTTGGTTCCACTTGAAGAGGATCCATCAAGGGAATTTCCCTTGGTACCCTTAGAAGGGTTCTTCCTCTTCTTTCCTCTACCATTCCCAATTTCTAGGACAGGGGGGGGAAATTTGGTGTAGGAGTAGGAGTGGTAACAACCGACTTACCTTTAAGACCACTTTCCGCAGTCTTCAGAAGTCCTTGAAGTTTGCTGAGTGTAACTTCCTCCTTGTTCATGTGGTATGTCATGCGGAATTGATCATAACACGAAGGTAAGGAGTGCAAAATGATATCTATTGCCAACTCCTCTGGGAAGTTCACATTCAGTTTCAGCAAACGGTCCACATACCTTTGCATTTTCTGCATGTGGCCCGTGATGGGTTCACCATCCTTCATCCTGGTCGTTATCATGGAGGAGATGATTTCATATCACTCTTGACGAGCACTCTGATGGTAGCGGTCCATCAAATCCTAGTGCATCTCAAAAGGATAGTAGTCCTCATAGGACTTTTGGAGCTCGGCTGTCATAGTGGCCAACATGATGCATGCCACTTTGGCAGCATCTCTTTCATAAGCCTGATATTCAGCGACCTCCTCAGGAGTAGCAGTCGGCTCGAGTTCTTTAAGATCCTTGTCGAGGACATATTGCTTGTCCTCATAGCGTGTGACCATCCTGATGTTCCTGATCCAATCCATAAAGTTGGATCCATCAAAGATGACTCTCCCACAAAGGTTCATGAGAGAGAAGGAGCCGGTAGGGTTTGAGCCAGAAGCAGCATTGTTGGAAGACATCTGAAAAGAAGAAAGACAGGTTTAGATTAGATATAAAGATAGTCCTTAATAAAACACCCAAATGTAATATTAAGGCTAGGACCCAACACAATATTTTATAACTTAGAAGAGGGATGCCTTAATCCAAGCTATAAAATATTTGAAGGTAGGTGAATGACGATTCACCAATTTCCACCATGAAAAACGAAGAAAAATTTAGGTTTTAATTCATTTTTGAAACTCCTAGATTCTTTGAGATTCATTGAACTTTTCAATGGTATGTTTCAATCTCGAGTGTGCCCTTCAGGTTTTGTGACTGGGATGCCGAGGATCACAAAAAAAGGTGTGAAGTAACCATGCAAATTACTTGGTACCCTCAATATTTACCCCTCAATCGATGTGCCAGTTAACCACACACGCTCCATCGATACTATGATAAATATTAAGTTACCATTTACCTACCTTTCTAAGTCCAGGTTAGTGTGCCGGTTAACCATACACGCTCCCCTAACGACTTAATCAAAGTGCAAAGTGTAATTTCATGGGTTAGCACCTTATTCACATTTTCCTAAAGTAACTAAGATTGGGAATTTATAAAAACATTTAGTTACTTTATTTTTCATCATACTTTTAATAAGAATTTAAAGTCCTTGTCTTACCCGTTCGGCTAACGACCCTCCACCAGTCAAGGAAGCGGTGGGTGAGAGTGGACACCCATTAAGCTGTCATTTTATAGGCAATAACCTTATACCCCCCTTATAGACCGGCTTCGTGAATGAGGCCTACTAACGGTAAAACGACTTTGTTCTTATACATATATAATTATTATTAAACTTATAATATTATAAAGTATAAGTGTTGAATTTTAACTTTTAAAATTATAGGGGTTGGAACTAAAGTTTACTAGATGAATTTACATGTTCCAAAACTTGAGGGCAAGTTTTGTAACTTTACAAAACTTTTCAATTCATAACTTATGAGTTATTGTTTATTAATTTTTTTTTTGTAACTTATGTGTTCTTTTAATGGATTTATTACAAAGTGACTTTTGGTTATCCATAACTTGAGGACAAGTTATGGACTCCATTAAAACACATCATGATCATGAATTAACTACCAATCAATAGCACATAATTTCTATGATCTTTGCAAGAACTCATAAGAACATGAATATTCATATCAAAATTTCAAGAACATATGAACACTTATAAACATGGAATTTTGATATTAGCCATTGTAAATGGATTAGAACAACCATTACACCATCTAAAACAAGTTTTATAACAGCAAAACAGTTTAGGGTAATGTTTCTAGTCCATTTCCAGCAGCAAAAATCGAAAATCTGCACTCTGCATGGCCAACTCGTCGAGTGCAAGAACTAACTCGTCGAGTTGGTTGAAGATACGCTTGGACTCGTCGAGTCCCCCCATGAACTCGCCGAGTCCCCTGTGCAGACAACAAGAATTTCAACTTTTCAGCTATTTTGCATCAAGTATCAAACAAACAAGCCTAGGCTCTGATACCACTGAAGGGTTTTGAGCATTCTAACACTCCTAAGGTGTACATTCAACCCTAGAAACCTTGGATCTATGTTTGACTAAGATACATGCAAAATGATTTTTCCAAGGTTCATAATCCTATCTAGCATACATAGGGAACTCTTAAACATAAAAGTCAGCTAGAAAACATACCTTGTAGTAGTTTAGATTCCTTGAAAACCTTGTGAGCCTAGCACCTCAAGTGTGATGCCTCAAATGTCTCACGCAACACCAAATGCATTTGGAATAAACTTGAGAGAAATGTCACACTACTTGAAATCGGCTAGCCCTCTTCTTTCTTGCTTAAGTGGCAATTTTGGTAAACATAAGGATCCTTATATAGTGTGTTACAATTAGGGTTACACCATGTAAACCCTAATTGACATGACCTTTCATTTCCATGACCCATGGGTTCTATAACCACCATGGAGCATCCGTGGAGCATCCTATGGGTTGTAGCCCAACTTGATAATCCATGGAGCATTAGCCCACTATACAAGTATGAGTGATTTACACAATCAACCCATATATTTAATTAGCCTTCTTTTGATCACTTAATTAATTCCATATTAATTCTTGATCAATACTAATTAAATAATATTATTAATATATTAGAACTTATAATATATTAATAAACCATAAGTGTTATTTCTCTCATTTTAGTCTATCCAAATGCATGATGCCATGCAACCCAAATGGACCATGCCAAACCGGGTCAAGTACATACTAGAAATAGTTATGGACTTAGACACCTTATCCAACAGTCTCCCACTTGGATAAGTCTAATAAGTATAACTGCAAGTATGACTTCAGGAACCGACCAGCAATCATAGCTCTTTCAATGTCTCTCGGAACTGAGATGATGATGATACGCCATTTAAGATAAGTGATCATATAATCCTCTGTTCTAGATATCAGTCGGACAATTACATGGAACAATATCTTACTTATTGTCCAGCAGTTTGTTTCTCGATTTCCGATTTGTTTCACATAGAAC